CCTCTGTCCCTCGTTCTCTGCCAGAGCCCCCGTCCCGCTCCCCAGGATGCCAGGCAGATCCGCCGGGAGCTGCCGGGCTACTAGGGATGGGCAGCAAGGGGCTGGCTCTGTCAGAGGAACGGTGCAAAAGAGCCCTCTTGCACCCTGTCTTGCCCGAGAGCTCATGCCCTGCCTCCTTCTACCCTTTCCTTTGTAGGTAGTCCCCTGGCAGGGGGAGCAAGGGCAGGCACTGGCAGTTTGCATGGGTGATGCGGTTTTCTGGGGCTTTCCTGTCCCTCGGGGACGGCGTGTCAGCCTTGGGAAGGGACCGGCAGTGCTCTGGGCGTGAAAGCTTGGGGATCGCTGCTCCCTCTGTGAGGGACTGCAGTACTGCTGGCGGGGGCACAGGGTGATGTGCAATCACCTTCTGGTAGGAAATGTGGGGAAATGTGGAGCAACTCTGCGGAATCACTGCCACCCCACTTCAAAGGCAGCACAGATGGCATCAGGCAGCGTGGGTGGCTGCTGTGGTCTGTGGTTAGTGGAGGTGTGGGAAGAGCAGTGTGAGGAGGCCCTCACCTCAGGGTGCAGGTCAGCACACGTGTCTGTGGAAGCGTGGTGATCCGGGAGCATTGGATATGAATTCACAGGTCTTGTTGTCTTGTTTCTTCCAGTGCTGGGAGCCTGCTGATGCCTTGACATGCTTTGATAAGCAGTATATATACAAGGGCAGATGCTGCAACCGGTGTCGGCCAGGTATGGAAACCCTTTCCTGGGAACCTCACAGCTGGGCAGTGCCAGGACCTGGGCACAGCAGGGCAAGCTTTGCTTGGTGTGATGGAGCCCTTCCACCTCACTGCCAGCAATGCTTACAGCTTCACCTCCCTGTGTCATCTCAGTGACAGAGCAGCTGGGACCTTGTGGGTGGTCTTGGAGACCCCTTGGACTTCATCAAATGTGCCCAGCTCTCTTGGCACTGTTTGTGCTCTTGCAGCTACAGGCAGCTTTGTGGGGAGAGTGCTGGCACTAGCAAATTGTGAGGGTGTTTGCCAGCTCCTGCTGTCACTGTCAGGTCATGTCCCAGTCCCTGCAGTGGCCCCACAGCCCTCCCTCCCCACCTGGCCCCTGCATTGTTTGTGGTCATCAGGCGAGCTGACTCCTTTAGCCTTGGCTCCCATGCAGAATAGTGCAGCAGTCCTGGCATCCAAAGCTGCCAGCCTTCCCCTGGAGAGAGGGAAAGCCCCCTTGTCCCTTCCTCACCAGCCTCTATTGCAGGGGAAAAACTGATGTCTGAGTGCCAGGAAACAGAAGACTCTGTTTGTGTCCCCTGTGAGAGCGGGCACTATCAGCCAAGCTGGACCAAGGAGAAGCACTGCGCTCCTCACGACATCTGTGAAAGCAGTAAGTGCTCCCTATCACCACTGACCCCACCCTGGGGGGACTGGCTGCCCTGCTTGGTGTCTCACCTCGTCCATGTTCCCTCTGCCCAGATGCCGGCCTCATTGAGAAGATAAAAGGAAATGTAACACACAACACGGTGTGCCAGTGCCGGGCTGGCACGCACTGCTCTGACATCAGCTGCCAGACCTGCGTGGAGAACCAGCCTTGCCAGCTTGGCTCTGGCTTTGTGGCAGGTAAGTCTGACAAGGTGTTCCCACTCAACAGGACTGATGCCCTGTCAGTGCTGACATCAGGGGATGGGGCCTCCCCCACTGTGGTGCCCCTGGCAGGGCTTTGGGAGAGCGGTGCCATTGCCACCGGGCATGCTGTACATCTGGACTCTGTAGTCCCTCAGGCCCTCACCCCCACAGCCCCTGCTGACCTTGCTGCCATCTCTGCCCCTCTCCAGCCAAGGCCATGGAGCGGATGTCTTCCCCCTGTGAACCCTGTGCAGAAGGCACCTTCTCCAACGTCTCCTCTAAAACCGAGCCGTGCTACCCCTGGACAAGGTATTGTCTGAGTGCAGACCATGTCCTTCCACCAGCCCCAGGGAGCACATCCTCTGCTGCCAGTTTCCTTGGTGGCCTTGGGGACTGGGCAGCCAGGCTGGTCTCTGAGGGACACAGCATCTGGCTGGTGTAGGGCCAGGAGAGAGGAACAGGGCTAGGAGCACAGTGTGGTACAGGGCAGCATTGGCTGAGGTTGAGGCAAACATTCAGGCACTTGTGTCTGTCCCTCACAGACTGCTTTTCCCTTCAGGGGTGTCCATGCTGTCATCCATGCTGGAAGTAAGGGGTCAGGATCTATGGGGATGCCCCATGCCCTGTTCAGGTTCTCCCTCCCAGTGCTCTCTGTGGCTGCAGTCATCAGACAAAGCATGAGCCCTCTCCATGGGGACTTTGGCTTTGAGCATGCCATGAACTGGCAGGTCATCCCTGTCTTTAGAAAGCTGCTTGAGGGTTAATTGCAGTTCCTGGTAGAAACATGAGCCTTATTTCCAAGCTGAATTAGTCTTGCTTCAGCTGCCAGCCATTGGATTTCACTTTGCTTTTATCTGTGCCCAGAAATTACTTCCCCACAGAGCCACTTGTAGCCTATCTTAGCTTTTCTGTCATAGCTACAGTGCTGAAGCCCTGGGGGCTTCCCTATCTGGGCAGGTTTGCTCCTTCCTCTGCCTTGTCCCTAAACTTGTTGCCATCCTCAGCAGTTTCAGCAACTCCAGGCCAAGTCCCAGGGTTGGTACCCTGCGGTGTAGCTGCTGTCCCCCTCACACTGTGTTGGTGGGAGTCCCCCTGCTTGCCCTGCTGGAGCTTGGCAGGCTCAGAGCAGGATGTGTTTTGGGGCAGCTCGAGTGCCTGCCCAGCCCCAGCTATTCCCTGAGCTCGGGTTACTGTGTGGTGACATGGTCTTGTTCTTCCTTGCAGTTGTGAGGAGAAGGGGCTGCTGGTGAAGGTGAAAGGGACGAACTCCTCGGATGTGATCTGCGGTGAGTGCCTGGTGCCCAGGGCCCATCCAGTGCCAGGCAGAGAGCACCCAGGGCTCCTGCAGCACTCAGCAGAGAGCACCCAGGGCTCCTGCAGCACTCAGCAGAGCTGGGTCATGTGTGGTGGTTTTGGGGGAGGAAGGTCTGAGTGCGTGGCCAGTGTGATGCCTTCCTGCCTGTGTCTCCCTGAGGGATCCCTGTGGGGCTGGGGCATGACTCTGTGTCACACTGGGTGTCCCGTGGGTGTCTCACTGACCCTGTGTCCTCCTGCAGAGTCCAGCAGGCGCTCCTCCCTGTCAGTGCTGATCCCCATCACAGCTGCAGTTGTCACGTGCCTCGTGGGTGTCTGCATCTACTGCCTGGTGCACACAGGTGAGGGGCTAAAGCCTGTGAACTGCTGCCTTGGCCCAGGGGGGGACAACCTTGGCCCAAGGGGCCATAAAGGACTGAGGGGTTGAGCCAGGGAGGGCAGCAGCAGCTCTGCTGAGAGTGGGGAAACTCCTCTGGGGACATCACCAGGACAGGATTTGCTGAGTCCTGCTGTGTCTTTGGGAGCAGGTGTGTTGGCACTGCTGCAGCCTGAGCTGGGCTCTTGGAGCACCGGTGCTCCCCCAGCTTTTGGGGAACAGCACTGGTGCCCCATAACTCCATTCTGGCTTCTGCTGTGACCCCCGGCCTGCCCAGCCTGGCAGTGGCAGCAGGAACAACAGCAGCACCAGCCCTGGCTCTGCCCCTGGGAAGCTCCTTGCAGGGCACGAGCACCTCCTCCTGAACTTTGCCTTTTCTGTCCTTCTTTCCATCCAGATTCCAGGCGACGAGGGCCAAAGGAGGTGAGTCTGCCTAGAGCCCCCTGCATCAGTGGGTTGGGATCCCTCCTGGGCACAGCAGCAGAGCAGGGGCTGTGGCTTTGCAATGCAGGAGGGGTGGGGGCTGAACTAGGCTGCCTGGCTGGGGCAAGCTGAGGGTTCTGCTGGCGAGTGCTGAGCATTTGGGAGGAACCCATACTCTGGGCTGCATGGGAGTGTAGCAGGAAGGACGTGGGTGCAGTGGGGGAATGTAGCTGCCTGCCCCTGACCCCTGCCCCTGTGCAGATAGAGGCTGGGGAGCCCGGAGAGAGCCCACATCCCCAGCAGCCCACGGAGCAGGATGAGAATGTCTTGCCTGTGCAGGAGACCCTACTCAGGGGCCAGCCTGTGGCCCAGGAGGATGGCAAGGAGAGCCGCATCTCGGAGCAGGAGATGCTGTGAAGGCGCAGGGCACTGCCCCCGACAGGAGCACAGACTGGACAGCACCATCTCCTCTGTCCCCCCTCCAGCTGGGGAGGAAATCTGGCATCTGGCCTGGCTGCAAATGATGGGATGCTGCAATGGACCATGGCACGACCACCCCACGGGAATACCACTACAACTCCTGCTCTGGTCACCTGCACAGGGCTGCCCTGGTGGAGCAAGGCTTGGCTGCCCCTATGGGGGCATGGAACAGAGCCCCATCCTGCTTCCTGCCCAGGTGATGCAATAACCTGGGTGGCTGCTCACCTGCTGAGCCCTTGCATAGCCCAGTGCAGCCCCTGGCCACAGCACAGTGACCATGCTGACAGGAAGACCCCAGCACAGAGCCCCGTGTCCCTGAGTGCTGGAGAAGCCAGGGCTGTGAAAGGGGGCTGTGAGATCACCACGGCAGAGCTCAGTCCCCTGTCTGGGGTGCTGTGGAAGCGCTGCCCGTGCTGGAGCAATGCGCGGTGAGTGCTGCCATACGGACAGGGCACCGCGGCCCCTGCGTGCCCAGCGCTGCCGGGCTCCGTGGCACCAAGAAGGACCGGATCGGCGGGCCCACGGCTCTGCCCCGGGCCGGGGATCGCGGCGGCGGCGGGGCCGGAGCGCAGACAGCGGCGTGCGGCGGCCGGGAGATGGTGCTGCGGGACCGGCGCGGGCTGCGCGGGGCGGCACCGGCACCGCCCGTCCCGCGTACACCCCGGGCGGGCACGGGGGTCTCTGGTCTCGGGGGGCTCTGGCCTCGGGGGGCTCCGGGCACGGGGGTCTCTGGCCTCGGGGGGCTCCGGGCACGGGGGGCTCTGGCATCGGGGGGCTCTGGCCTCGGGGCCCCTGCCGCGGCTCCCCCGCACACCCGCCCGTCCGTGCGGGACCGGCTCCATCACCTCCACCCAGTGCTGGCGACACCGTGTGATTAAAGGTCATTTTCTGCCCCTGTGCGTGAGCAGCCCTGAGCCCCTGTTGCCCACCGCGCCCCCGGGACCGGCGCTCCCGGCTCTGATGCTCCGGGAAGGATGCTTTGGGAATGGAGGGAGGGAAGGGCTGCCACCAGCTGTGCTGAGCCCCACCGTGCCCCCAGGCCCTCCCCAGCACACCTGGCTGGCCTCACTCCCCTGTGCCTGCCCTCCCTGACCCCACAGCAGGAGCTGTCCCAGCACAGCCATGCCCAGCCCGTGCCCCACGGCAAGGGAGAACAGGGGATGTGGGCAGGGCTGTGCCCTTCTCCTCACTGCTCTGGCGGTAAAATGCACAAATGGGGTCCATAGCACTGCAGGGCAGCACTGTGGGGTGCTGTGGTGTAGCAGTGGAGTCACCCCGGGCCCCAAAGCCCACTGGTGTGGGGTTGCAGCAGCACTGAGCCCACTGCAGGCTTTGGGTGCTGGGAGCAGCCTCAGCCTGTGACCCACCACGATCTGAACACAGGCAGCACAGCACGAGAAAGGCCATAAATCCCTGAGCAGGAGCAGCTGGAGCATGGAGCAACTTTGCCAGTACAGGCAGTGGCACATTATTTAAGGCTCCTCTTAAAACCTAATGTTAGGTTTAATAAGGGAGATAAAAACATGGCAGCAGCTTTCCCTCCTCTCAGGGCTTGGCAATCCCAGCAGTGCTAGTGGGATGGTCTCAGGCTGGGCAGCATTCCCTTGGCACCAGCCCAGAGAACACCCAGTTCTGGGGACAGATGTGATCCCGCTCCTGCTGGAGGAGAAGGTGCTTTGTGGGCCACAGATGGTAAGTCTTTGGCCCCAAACGTGAAGCCTGTGGCCCCAGATGATTTCCAAAGGACTGTCTGCCCAGGTGGCAGGCTGAACAGTCTGGGGCCACCTCCCCAGCTCCCCCAAGGCTGCCCCTTCCCTGCTGGCATGCAGCATGCTCAGTGCCCACTCCTGCGTGTCACACATGTACCATCTCATTAGCACGTCTGTCCCCCAAAGTGAGCAGGGAGAGCGCGTGAGGCCTAATTGAATGTAACTAATTATTCACTCTGCAAATGCTCTGTTTAAATGGGATTGTGAGGGACAGAATTACTCATTCTGAAAAGGAGAGAGAAAAAGAGAAAGACAGAGATAAAACAAATAGAGGCGGATGCTGGAGCTGCAGCTCGCTCTCTCTCCCCAGAATACCAATTACCGGATGAAGTGATTGTATAAATCTTTACCGAGTGAACGGACTGTACTAGTCACTTACTCCTGTCCTCTTATTATGAGGAAGCAATGAAAAATCATCCCACTCTCCAGTCCAGTTAAGGGTTCCCAGCCCCTGTCTTGGGCAATATCTCAGCAGCTGGAGAGCTCGTCCTGGGGCTCTCTCGGGGTGGGGGTCCCTCTGAGACAGAGCTGAGCAAGGAGGAGCTCACAGCCATCCTGCACCCCAGCCCTGGGGAGGAGCAGTGGCTGTGCATGCTCTGGGGAGGTGCAGGGCTTCTGTCCCAGCAGGAGCCAAACCATGCCATGCAGCACCCTTGGAGACATGGGCTGGCCAAGGGCCCCAGTGTCACACATGTCACACGTCACACAGGGACCCCTGGCTCAGTGGCACTCCAGGTCTTGACCCCTCAACTTCCTTGTTCTTCCCATCTGTGGGTCCAGCCCTGCCAGGCTCCTGGTCTCCTGCAGTGCTCACTGAAAAGGGAGAGCACAGTGCTGCCCAACCTCTTCCCACGCTGCAGTCAATGTTTCTCACTCAGGGTGTCTCTGCTCCACTGGTTGCAGAATGCACTCATTGGCAGTGACCTCCATCACTCTTGCCTGCCACATCTTTTAATCCCAGACCCCTCCAAACACCCACATTTCTGTTCTCAGTAGTGGTGTGGGATGGCAGAGGAGGAGCTGGCCGTGCAGAGCTGGGCAAGCTGACAGAGCCCCCCTGCACCCTGCCATCAGTGGGGAGCCCCCTCATTCTGGGGTCCTGCTGCATGAGCTGGTGAGGACCCAGCCAGCCCCATCCTCCCTGCAGGCAGCCCCAGATCCCCCTCACCACAAGGCACCCACGAGGGGCTGGTTAACAGGGACAAGGACCACCTGGTCTCCAGATCCTGCAGCCAGAAACAGAGGGACCCCTCAGAGAGTGCTATTCCAGAGGAGCCACAGGGATTGTGTGGTGGGTTCAGCTGGTGGGGAAGACAGGCTGGGCACTGTCAGTGATGAGAGGATAAAGCCTCCAGTCTGTCCTGCCTTGTCCTGGCTGGGGATTTGATTGTTGCCAGCAGCGAGTTTCCATGCACTGGAGATGTGCGTGTGTGGGTGTGAGGGAGAGATAACATCATCATCATCATAACAAATGCAGTTGTGCAGCTCCATTCTCTGCTCATTGGCTTTCTTCTCTTTATCTATAAATAATTGCGGGGACACAATAGACTTTTAAGTCTGCCAAAGAGTTTGTCTCCCTCCAGCAACCGTATTGCTACAGTGCTGCCACCTTATCTGCTTGTAGAAGGATGAGGGTGGGAAAAATATTTACTGTCAGGGATATTTGTCATCTGCAAATTACTCCGCCTACAGTTCACAGCAGGGATGGGGCTGACAGCAGCGATCTGTAGTGTGGGAGTATGAGCACAGGGGGTCTCCACGCTGCCCCAGACCCACCTGAGCCTCATCCTGTCAGCAGCAAGCTGGCAAACCCAGCACGTGTGCAAAGCCATGCCACGGGGATGGGGGATGCAGGTGATGATGCTGAGCAAGTGCCTTGACACAAGATCCTTGACATGAGGATCACCTTGGTGGGGCTGGGACATTGGGCTCAGAGGTTTGCCAAGTTTCCAGCCCCTCCCCAAGCACAGGCCTGCACCCCCAGGCTGTGTAGGAGCCCCCAGCACAGCAGCCCCAGACACTGACCACTGTGAGAGCCTTATTAGTCTCCTGCAAAGGCCAAAAGTGCTGGACACTCCACCACGCCCTCAGCACCCACTGTCCCTGCAAGCCCCGCTCTGCCTGCTGCTGCCAGCCCCACCAGGCTCGCTCACTGCTGGAATTCCTCACATCCTGCAGCCCAGAGGCCTTTGCACAGCACTTATCACTGCAGTATCCAAGAACCGATCTAATTGATGTGACACCAATTATTCCTGTATCACTAAATGCAGAATTAATGCATCTGTGTGTACAAACCTCCTAGACCCTGACCATGAAATAATGACTTTGACATGAAAAGAGCCAGAGCCTGGGAGCACCATCTCTCAGCTGAGCCCCCCTCATTGCAGCTCTGGCCAGCCCTGCTGGGACACCTTCCTGATGGCAGCAGTCCTGAATCCTCCAGCTGGCTGCACAGAGAGCTGGGCCTCGTGGCTCTTTGCAGACTGGGCTGCAGCCATGGTGGTCCCACACAGCCGTGCCAAGGCAGGCAGCACCAGCCCAAAAGGGAGAGCTGGCAGAGCTGCCCTGGCTATTGTGACAGCCAGCCCAGAGAGCTGCATGCTCCACAGGGCAGTGCAAAGCCATTTTTGGGCTGCTCTGCACAGCTTATGCAGACTGCAAAGCTCTTGGCTTGGACATGGACTGGTGCTGGGAAAAGCCATTCATTGCACTTGAAATTTTACTGTGAAATAAGGCTTTGCCTGGACACGCAGGGCTTGGCACCAGCAGAAGTTTGTATTTTGTAAATTGCTTTCTACAATCAATTAAAGAAAAGAGATGGCTGTAGCCAGAGGTGGCACACGAGATGGCTCCAGGCTGGGGCTGGTTCCAGATCCCAGGAGCCGTCCCAGCCCAAAAGGAGCAGCCTCAGAATGAGGAGATAATGTGGCTGGGCAGAGCTCAGCCAGTGGAGGAGGAGGTGGGCAGCTGTGAGGGGGGATGATGGTCCCATCAGGGGCTGCTGTGCTGCCCCTGTGCCCACATTGACCATTTGGAAGCTGCTCCCAGGCCTTTGCACTGTGCCAGTCAGTGGCAGCTCAAGCTGGAACCATCCTGGAGATGAACTCTGTCCCCTCCCAGCTCATCCCAGTGCCCCTGATACTGGCAGTGCACCATGGTGCCAGCACTGCTCCAGGGCAGCAAAGCAGAGAGGTCCCCAGTGAGCTGGGGGTGCAGTGGGGCACAGCCAGCATGGCAAAGCTCTGGTGCCTTTCCCATCCCATTTGGGCAGAACATGGTGAGCACAGCATGTGTTGGGCTGCTCAGATAGCAAAGGGCTTGCCCTGGTTCTGGTTTGCTCAATGTTTTCATTAAGGACCTGGATGATGGAATAGAGAAAGTGCTTATTAAATTTGCAGATGACACGAAGCTGGGAGGGACTACAAGTATCTTGGAGGACGGGATTAGAATTCAAAATGATCTTGACAAATTGGAGAAATGGACTGGAAAAAATAGGATGAAATTCAACAGGGACAAGTGCAAGGCAGTTTGCTGAGCAGGGGAACAATCAGCTGTGCAAACACAAGCAGGGCTGGCGGCCACACAGGCATGGGGCAGCCCAGGGCAGGGGCAGGCAGGAGGCTCAGACTGTCTGCTCAGTCTGAGCTGGGGGGTAAGGCCATGAGGAGGCAGGAGGAAGGGATGGAGGGAGTGAGAGAAACGTCTGTTGGTCTCAAGCACAGACGGACCTCTTGGAGCTGTGCCATGGGCTCCCTGTGGTCCCATGCACTTCTCCCACCTGGCCAGGAGCTGGGATCTGGCAGCATCCCAGCCCCTGTACACTTCAGGTGTGGGGCTAAGCAGAGTTTCCCTGCTGAGCTTCCCAATCCCCTGCCTTTGCCAGCTCAGAGGCAGGGCAGGCACTGCCCTGCAATGCCCAGGGAGATGCCCCCATGCCAGCTCCAAAAGA